CGGTAAAATGGCATTTGGCCAAATTTTCCATAGTAATTTTTTTCGCCCCGCCCTACCTCGAAACCTGGCTACGCCCTTGAATATACAATCGCGCTATTGTCAAACTCTGTCATGGTGAAATTAACTAACAACTTCCTTTACTTTTCACCAATCTCGATCATTATTAACAGGTAAATATTAATTTTATTCAATTGGAGGCGACCCCGGCGTAGTGGTTAGCATTCATATCTCTCACGCCAAAGTCACGAGTTCAAATCTCACCCCCGGACAAGTCACGAAAGACCCAAAAAAAACATTCAATTGGTATATTATACCACAGACAACATTACCGCCATCTGTTGAGTACACTGTAGTGGATAGAACGCTGAACAGATGGCAGCACAACAGTGTGTAACCGTCAAACGCAAACGAAATGACTATGCGCGCCACAGGTGGTGGTACTACAAACTACGATACTTTTATATTGACCGTTAACTGCTTGTTCCATGAACATCTTGCGAGTGTTATGACTGTTTGTCTGTGATTATACTGTCATTATCATTGCAACTAATTCATTTAGGCATATTCAATGACCTGCATTGGGTTATTATTTTGCATGCAATGATATGGGGAAAATCAATTCGAAATTTTATGGTATTATCAACAATCAATACGAAACTAACCGCCCAAGGCGAACCAGCCAATGGCTGAAAGCCTTGTAAATAAAGGAAAAAAAAAAAAAAAAAAAAAACGAAACTAACGATTTTAAATTGGCTCACCACTTTAGTAGCCTATTGGTCCCAAGCAAACGATTAACGTACCCTATTCTAGTTGAAATTCTATTACTACACTATGTTTGTATTGATTCGCTATGAAAGTTTGACAGATAACATCAGGGGTGTGTGGATTCATGCAGAACATACAGGGGTGAGTGAAATAGCTTGGGACTGCTTGGGACCGTTGTTCTGGTACTGAGTGAGCCAAAAATAATAATGATTTTCTTCGGGACCCAGTGGTCTTAGAGTTACCTCTATGGTATTATCATAGAGGTAACTCTAAGACCCGAAGGTCCCGAATAAACGTAATCAACTTTTTGGCTCAGCTCTGGTACTCTCTTTGGTCCCATGCTAATCGATGCACCCCTCGAAACATAGGAAAATCCACGAACCCCTCATTTTATCTGTCAAACTTTCATAGCGAATCAAAATAAACATTGTGTAGTACTAGAATTTTGACTAGAATAAAGTACGTTAATCGATTTGCTTGGGACCAATAGGCTAGTCAAGTAGTGAACCAATTTATAATCGATAGTTTCGTATTGATTGTTGGTATTATAGAAAGTTCTGTTCAAAATGAAGTCTTACAAAAATTGCAAAAAATCATTTTGTGCTGATGAGATTGTGTCGAAAATCGAAATTATTTATAATAACCAAACATCATAAATTAGATATTTTCAAATATGGTTTCCTACACTGCAGTTCTACCAACAATCAATACGAAACTAACGATTTTAAATTGGCTCACCACTTTAGTAGCCTATTGGTCCCAAGCAAACGATTAACGTACCCTATTCTAGTTGAAATTCTATTACTACAATATGTTTGTTTTGATTCGCTATGAAAGTTTGACAGATAACATCAGGGGTGTGTGGATTCATGCAGAACATGCAGGGGTGAGTGAAATAGCTTGGGACTGCTTGGGACCGTTGTTCTGGTACTGAGTGAGCCAAAAATAATAATGATTTTCTTCGGGACCCAGTGGTCTTAGAGTTACCTCTATGGTTCTACGCATATTTGTCCCATGTTACTTCTGGAAGTGTTTCACTTTTGTTCATAAAATAGTACCTTTTCAAATACACTTTGTAATAAAAATAAAAAAAACATGTAATTTGTTTTGGGCTTACATAAAAACAACATAAAGTCTTATAGTCCCATGTTGAAATTCTACGCATTACTGTCCCAAAAAGATGTTTTATACTGAATTTATCATTAACGAATCGATTTCTGTGAAAAAGAAGAACAAAAGAAACGGTATGAACCATTTCGGGAAGTAGAAGTTTTATTGTATGTTGAAAAATATTGAGAGAAGCGGGAATTCATATTAAAACACCAGGTCAGAGTTCTCATTTCAAACAATGCACTTACGTAGGCACTCACCACCCCCACACTACACCCTATAGTGTCTACGTGTTTTATGAAAAGTCCCTAATATAAATGGATTTTATCAACTCTGTACGGAAGAAATCCTTACTGTGCATGTTAACTCTTCCAAAGTAATTCTTGAAATCATCCAAGTCGTGTGACGTATCGATCTTTTGTCCACAGCATGTCAGCCACCATAAATCTAAAATGATTAAACACAATCTCCTTTAGGCCTACGTTTATCTAGCTAAGGAGTAGAACAAGACGCTAAGAAGTTTTTGTTCTTCATAGAGCATTCATCATTAGTTTCTCGAGATTCCCACTTTTAATGGTTTTATAGAAGTAGCAAATGACGATTGTAGCAATGTAAACAAACTTATTGTTGGTATCAGTTAATTATGCAAACCTAAGCAAACTATTCAGGATCTTCCAAAAGTTCGCGGAGGCAAACACAAGAGTAAAGACGGCAAACGCAACGTGGCCATCAAAGCAACACGGAAAGCAACAGTTCCTAGTGGGACTGACATGCATGCGTAGAATTTCCTACCTTATTGCAAATTTCGCGCCATGACAGTCCCACTAAATATTGTTCGTATAAAAATAGACCTAACTGATTTCATTGAAGGTAATTTCTTTAGTTTTCACTTAAACATATTTATTCTGTTGAAATGTGAGCAATGCACTAACTTATTTTAACGTATATGTCTTCCAATGGGCAGAAATGATTCGAAACATTATTCGCGAAATTCTCAGATGCAATATTTAGAACATGGAACAGTTATGCGTAGAACGGCAGTACAATTCCTGCATTAAGGCACAAGTAATAATGATTAATTGGATCATCAACAACAAATAAAAGGTAAATATTTCCAATAATTCAAGACCAACAATTGAAATGGCCTTAACTCCATTTTGTAAACAAACCTTGCAAGGCCATTTTCTCGCGAACCACCTTCATTCGCAAACCTGAACCACAATTGGGTAGAGGAGAATTTCCCCCACCTGTTCATTATGTTGGTTTACCTTTGCGGACTTCGGTTCGCGCAAAAAATGGCCTTACAAGGTTTGTTTACAAAATGGAGTTAAGGCCATTTTAATTGTTGGTCTTGAATTGGTCAAAAATCATCTTCTTAAAAATGAACCTCACACGGGGCAAGAGTGCCACCACTGTATTTAAAAAAATAAAATTATATAAAAATGTAAAATAAATTGCTTAATTGTGTGTCTTCGGTAAGCTTGTTTTCACCAAATTTGGCAAAATCAGCTACATAAAATATCAACAACAATAGTTTTCATTTGAATTCATTGGTAAACATAGTTCATTTGTTATGTATTGAATAATATTGTAAAATGCAATAGTTAAATTGAGTAAACAATAACAGCTGTTGCTAGCATTATTAATGATCAAAAGGCTATGCCAAGCATCACATTTCAACAAACATCGATTTCACTCAATTTAAGACTCATGGCCCTTTTGCCCTATAGAGTGGTTACCTCATGGCCCTACTCTTACCATAGGGGTAACTTTAAGACCAGAAGGTCCCGAAGAAACGTGCTCAACTTTTTGGCTCAGCTCTGGTACTCTCTTCGGTCCCAAGCTAATCGATTCACCCCTCGAAACATAGGAAAGTCTACTTTTTTCTGTCAAACTTTCATAGTGAATCAAAACAAACATTGTGTAGTAGTAGAATTTCGACTTGAATGGGATACGTTAATCGTTTGCTTGGGACCAATAGGCTAGTCAAGTAGTGAGCCAATTTAAAATCGTTAGTTTCGTACTGCTGGTACTCTCTTCGGTCCCTAGCTAATCGATACACCCCTCGATACGTAGGAAAATCCACGAACCCCTCATTTTATCTGCCAAACTTTCATAGTGAATCAAAACAAACATAGTGCAGTACTAGAATTCCGACTAGAATGGGGTACGCTTATAGATGTACTTGGGACCAAAAGGCTAGTTTAGTAGTGAGCCAATTTAAAATCATTAGTTTCCACCGGTTGCTCTTACCGTCCTCTTACCCCATTGCACTTTAAAAAAAAAAAAGATTTGAGATTACATTTTAAAAAATCGTAAACAATTTTTGACGAGATTGAATTTGCATTACATTGCTGATGTATGAACTTGCAATACGGTGTAAATACTCCTATAAATATCCACTATTTGGCATATACAGAGCTTACAATTGTTAAGGTAACACTCTTCCCAACCAGACACAATTTTAACACTAACCACAAATATCTCATGTCTGGTGAGCTTTTGAAAAAAACAACAATAATATGGATGACTTTTGCTTCTCGAAATCGGCCTATGTAAAAAGAAAACATGAAATTGCAGTTTCGCATTTATGGTGGGTATTTTATATTTTATGCATATATGTTTAAACTTAGACTTATTTCTTTCCATTCAAAGTGTTTTTATGTTACTTCATACGCGAAGTTTGCGATTTTCAGAGTTGGTTGGAAATGCTATCTAACATTAAGCTTCAGCGTGATAATTTATTAGCTAGAGAATGATCTTAGAAGAGAGTAGGTAGATAGTTCCGTTAGAGTACGGCAGTATGAAAATTGAACGTAAACGAAAATATTTCTTAATAGTATTGAAACATCAAAATCTTTAGCTGGATTGTAAAAATACCATCAAACATCCATGTGTTGTGTTTTTGTTTTTAAACAAGCAAGTTTAAACAAAAGTTTGCATCCACATTTAAAACACGGAACCTTTTTTTTCTACATCTCTTTATTGATTATCATGTTTTCTATTATTACATATAATATGTTTTATCTGTCTTTGTAAGCTTAATAACGCGACGAACAGTTACCATACAGTAGTACCTATTATTTCGATTGGTAAAAAGCATTCTCATATATTTTCCCCTACTGTTATAAATGCAATTGCTAGTAGGTGTATCAATCTTAAATATGCTAAAATTGAACCATCATTATTTGTTGGCGATAATGTTCATTGTAATATAATGTGCAAGTTTTATCATTTCGTTTCATAGAGCTACTTATAATATACATCAATAGATTGGGAATGTTCGTTATTATTGGAAGTGGAATGGTTAGAAATTTTTAAATGCATCTTGGACATTTCTAAAGTTAAGTTTTAAAATTTGCACAATATGTTATGTGCGAATAGATAGAATTTAGAGTTGAACGGTTGAGCAATCCTCTACCACCGCGATCGTTTTACAACTAAATCAACAGCCAGAATGATAACAACTTAGTATCATCTTTTCACTTATATCTAGTGCGCTAAATCTTCTCTTAGTATTATTCGGACAATCTGACTAATTTACTCCCGAACGTGAAATCCCTACTAGTGGATTAAGCTGCCTTTCTAGCATCTAGAAGATGGCAGTGATGACACCTTTTCTCAGCCAATGCTAATAATCGCACCCTATCTTACAGTTCAGTCGTCATGTGACTGGTCAGAACTTGGACTCTCTTGGCATTGCAGCTCTTACAGTATATGTGATCATCCAGTGGATAGCAACCACGTCCTTCCGCCTCGGATGATAGCAACAATCCGCAGTCCTCACATTTGTAGCAATTGATGTGGAAACTACGATCCAATGCGACAACACGAATCGTTTCATCTTGGCCCGGTTCTGGCATAATCGGATTACTGCAAACGCAACACCTGGGAGCAAACTTTTTGTGGAAATCTTCAATACAGTGAATCTGATTGGTGGCATCAACGGTGAAGGGAATTCCATCTAACGACTTTCCGCAAACGATACAAGTGAAGCACTGTGGGTGGTACGGTTTTCCCGTAGCCCGGAGGATACGCTCCAGAATAGGTTTCAAACAGACGGAACACTTCTCCAGCGTGTTGAGGTAGTCTTCCTCGCAGTACGGATTTCCATCTAAAGCGTAGAATGGTTTTCCCTGAAGATTGATTTGACATTGTTGGCAAGTGAAGCAAGCTATGTGATAAATCTGATCCATTGCCGTACAGCCGTTGTTTTCGCCAATAACGCGGTCACCACATTTGACACACGTGCCGAACGTATCAGGATCAGACACGTTGTCCATAGATTGAACAAGCAAATCGGTGAGCGTGTCAACTTCTGATTCCTTTGGAGGATGGCTGCGATGATGTTGATTGGAAGCACTGGTAATTAGGCTATCGTTGGGGCTGTTGATTCCACGTGAGTTAACGTACGGCGTGTACAAGGAATAATTCGATCTTCCGGACATCTGACTCGTGGGACGAGGATTGATTGGTTCATAGATAGATTCATACGTAGTTGACCCCTGTGAGCTCATTCCGTAGGTTCCATAAAGCGATTGATGGTGCATATTGTTCGCATAAATCTGGTTATTTTGTGATATATTACTGTATGTCTGACCTGCTCCTGGACCAACCATATTGTATGTAGGCTGCGGTTGACGTCCCATTGGTGGTAGATCGGTTGCTCGTCTCAGTTCACTATACGATGAACTCACCGGGCTTGGAGGAGGTGGAAATTCATCATCGTTATCTTCCAACGTCAACTCATTTAATGACAACGGTGCCTGCATATCTTGAGCCGGGGGTGGTGGAAGCTCATCTGATATCTGTCTCTGAGTAAACGGTTTCGAACCGCTATTATGGACAATATTACTGTAAATCAGCCCATCGCCATTCTTATGACCACCCTGGACATTTGCGTAGGTTGCGTCTCCTTCGTAATATCTAGTTGCAGTATTTTCGTAAACAGCCCCATCCGCTTGTCCTCTCTGCATCTTAACGTTCATCATTCTTTTGTGATGCTCCAGAGCTTCCTTCTGTTGCTGTAGTTCAACTGCATTATCTAATGTTATCTTTCTCGCCCCCATCTTGCCAAAGCTGGTGTTTGTATACGGGTGTTCTTCAAGGCCACCTTGCCCAGCTTGTCCTTGGAGCAAAGTGGAATACGATGGCTCACAATACTGTTTAACGTGAGAACTTTTCGGTACTTGCGGTGGTACAGTGGACGGAGCTGGTTTTTTAGACGGTTTCGGTGGTACAGCTGGTCCTTTCTTACCCATCATAACCATCCCGGGCACGATTACTCCGTTCGGACCACTATCCGGAAGAGGATCATACTGATCGTCGATCGGAGGACCCGCCTTATTCTGCCCTTGTGCCTGTTGCTGTTGTTCATGGTCACTCGACGACCTTAACGAAAGATGTGCCAGCTGTGAATTGATGTTATCCATTGTAACCGTGACGAATCGGTTGAATCACTTTAATTTCTGCTAAACTCAGTATGATTCACTCTTTTCACAGAAACCAGATAAGCAAAAAATATTGTGAAAACTTTTTTTCTATCGAAGGGAGCTGCCCTGTTCTCTGCAAAATTTTCTTTTTGTCTGCAGAAATGACATCATTCTGACATCTTTATAAACAAGCTTCAAGGGCGTTGACGAGGGGTAGGACTTTCGTTGTAAACACGCGCTATAATTTTAGAGATAATAATATTGAAGCCCTGTACACGCTAACTTGAAAGAGCCCATTTTGAAGAAAAGTGGCTTAATTCATTAATGGGTAATTTGTTTACCAATTTATTGCGTATCTGTTTCCCATAAATGAGAAAGTGGTACCTATTGAATACCTCGTTAAAACCAATAATGGATAACATTTACTCATTAGATAACCGGAAAAAAATCCAATTAAAATAACATGATTTCCATTGTCATTATGCCACGTTTGTATGACAAACTATGAACATGAGCATTATTTGTATAATAAATTACACAGAAAAAAAAGTTGTTGAATATTACATCCAAACTGCTGCAACCAGGTCAATCCATCGGTTGTGTAATATAACGTTGTACGATGTACATCGATTTTGCGAACAAAATTACATCCATTGATGTAATATTGTATCTGCCTTTTGCTATTACATCATTATTTCATACATCAGCTTGAATTACATTGATCGATATTACATTTTTTTTTTGCTGTGTATAGTAGTTTTAGGATAGCATAGTGACATTTGTATAGTTTTAGAATGTTAGCTGGTTTCTGGCGTTCAGCTACAATTAATAATGTGTTCCGAAAAAGTGATGTTTATTTCTATGAGATAATGATGATAGATGAGAACAGTAGCTACACTTAGAAACAGCATTGATTGTTTCTATGTATGTATTCTAATTAGATCATGGCATAGTTTCTATCATGGTTGATATATACATGGTGATACAGCTTTGTCACTATATGGGCGAGGAGATCACCAGGGGGAGTGGAAACGGCTGGTTTTAAACAAATTGTAAACAAACTCGGTCGCTGTCCCATTCAAAAATACATCATAGCTGAATCATGAATTTGACACATTAGAACTATAGTCACTATATTCATAGTCTGGCGGATAGAATTTCGATCTATCAAAAAGCGGAACCTTTTGAATACATTGTAGACCAATAATTGAAAAGGTGCTATCAACTATTATAAACAAAACGTTGATTATTCTTTCCTCGCCAATCGAAGGTAAATTACCAGCATCATCGGATAGGGGAAATTTTCCACAACCTAAAGATGGCGTTAGTTTGTGTAGGTGATCCTTTAGTCTGAGAAAACGGTTTCCGAAATTTTGTTCGCAATAGCTGATGTGCTCTTTTCTGTTGTTGGTCGTGATTTGCTCGATTGGTTCCGCTATTTGGCAGCTCAATTGGTTCCCGAGATTCTTTCCGCCAGAGTATGAATATAGCGACTCTAATAAGAACACCTACATGTTCCCGTATCTTCCCGTATAAACGCGAACCATAACTTGACCTTACCGATTATGGTTAAAAATGGTTTAAAATTTCTACTTAACTTTAACTTGAATAGTTATGGAACGTGGAATATATCGCGAATTGATAATCATTAATTTACAGGCAACCTATATTGACGATATACTCCACATAAACTTTTTTTTTTTTTTTTTTCTTACTTTATTATAGAGATTTTTAGCCATAGGCTAGTTCATCTCTTAAAACCACATAAACTTGCTCGATGTTACAAAACCATCCATGGACCTAACTGACTACCATAACCAATACTATTAAAGCATAGAGGTAATTCTAAGACTAGAAGGTCTCGAAATAACGGGCTCAACTTTTTGGCTCAGCTCTGGTACTCTCTTCGGTCCCAAGCTAATCGATTCACCCCTCGAAACATAGGAAAAACCAATAACCCCTCATTTTATCTGTCAAACTTTCATAGCGAATCAAAACAAACATTGCGTAGTACTAGAATTTCGACTAGAATAGGGTACGTTAATCGTTTGCTTGGGACCAATAGGCTAGTCAAGTGGTGAGCCAATTTAAAATCGTTAGTTTCGTATTGATTGTTGATTAAAGTTCTCATATAGTAAAAAAAGGTTTTACTATAATTTCTTTTCTTTTCAGTGTTCACTCGGCTGTCGACAAAAGCAGACCACTCTTGATGTGTGCTACGCGATCGGCTGTTTTCTCGGCAGCAACCATTGTGTGGTCCTCCTCATTGTTCTTCATCAGCAGTTCTTTCGGTCGATGCGTCGTCGACTTTGGAAAGCAACCGTTTCGTGATGAGTGTGTGAGTGCTGACCACGTTTTGCGTCCATTGCTGCAATGGACGCGCTCTGACCCTCGTTGGCGTACAACAATTTGCCATACAATGAAACTACTGGAAGCGGCTCCAGTTCTGATGGAGAAGGCTTTTTGGATAGCGGAAGATAAAGTGTTTATTGTGTTGTACCTTTTGACTATATTTTTAAGATGTATTGTATAGTATACCATGAATCCTCGGCTCTGTAAAGTTAATTCGGTTGAGCCTTACCAAATAAATTAATAAACATCATATAATTTCTTTTCCGAAAATTTAATTGACAAAATAAGAATTTGGAATGGTAATGATTCTTAACAACCTATTATTTGTAAGGTACACTTAAAAAACCATAATAAATAAGGTTAAAACTTTATCACACAAACGTTCATTTAAAGTTCCATAACCGTTTCAGTTAAAGTTTAGCAGGGACCATAAACAATTTTTAACCATTTTTTGTAATATCAAGCAATGGTTTGCATTTATGCGGGTTGGTTTCTATATGCCAGACACATAATTCTCACTTACACAAATCATCTCTATATTTGATCACACATACTGTTTATATGAAACATAATCTTTATGTGCTTTTTTCCTTGATATCTAGTAATGTGTGGTCAAATGAATATCATGCTTAATATTTTATCCAGTATTTTACGATCGCTTATGGCCGCCACAATCTGGCTGAGTTTGTGGTAGGGAACATAAGATTTGAAGTTTGGTTTGTGTCATTTGACGTGTAAACGATCAAATTTGAACGTTTAAACGTCAAACGACAGAACCCAAACGTCAAATCATATGTTCCCTACCAAAAACTCAGCCAGATTGTAGCGGCCATAAGCGCTAGTAAAATGCTGGCTAGACATTTTCATTCGTTTTCGTTTTTAGTGCCTATCTTAAATCGGGCAAAAAATCCGACATACGTAATTATCGTGGTATAGCTATTATCTCTTGCATTCCGAAACTTTTTGAGGCGATTGTAAATGAAAAACTCTTTCTTCAAATTAAAAACAGAATAACTACTATGCAACATGGCTTCTTTAAAGGCCGTTTAACAACTTCGAATTTGCTCGAATTAATTAACTATTCCTTCAATGCAATGGATAACGGAAACCATGTAGAAGTGTTGTACACAGATTTCAGTAAAGCGTTTGATCGAATTGACATACCCATGCTTCTTTTTAAACTTCAAAAAATGGGAATTCATTACGCACTCCTCAAGTGGCTTGAATCGTGTTTAACTTACCGCCATCAAATAGTAAAATACAAAGGAAAGACATCAAATCCCGTTGATGTCACTTCAGGAGTTCCTCAAGGGTCCCATTTAGGACCACTTTTATTTATTCTCTTCGTCAATGGCATATCTTTCATTATTAAGAAATTGAAAGTTTTAATCTATGCTGACGACATTAAACTTTGTTTAGAAATAAAAAATGCCAAAGACATCATCACATTCAAAGAGGAAATACTGATATTCCATACTTGGTGTCAAAAAAGCCTGCTACAATTGAATTTAAAAAAATGTAACTCAATTACCATTAGTCGAAAACGTATCCTACCCGATATAACAATCACTTTAGGAAACCAGATCGTAGAAAAGTGTGACAGAGTCAGGGATCTAGGTGTTATTTTGGACTCAAAACTTACTTTCACCGATCATTATAACACAATTATTAACAGAGCTAACAACATGCTTGGTGTCATAAAACGTTTCTGCTATAACTTTCACGATCCATGTACGATAAAAACATTGTCGATATTAGAATATTGCAGCATAGTTTGGTCTCCTTTTTCAATCACACACGAAGAAAGAATGGAGTCCGTTCAAAAGCAGTTTCTATTGTATGCACTCCGCAATTTAGGTTGGACTGTATCTCCTCTGCCATCTTACACAGATCGGTGTATGTTCATAAATAGGGGAATTTACGTATTCTCGTCAATCTAAGCAGCTTCCGCACTTCTATTAGCATTTTCTCAGTGTCACACACACATATGACGTGTCTGTTTGTTTACATTCATCTGCTGCTAGCTATTTTATCCATTCCAATCAACAAAACTGTCCAAAACGGTTTGAAAACGTGTAAACCAGCTGTTCTATTATCGGAAACTCGAAATCAGCCGTATTTTGATGTGCTTATGTTTCTTTTGCAGAATCACCTGGCATAACAGGTTTGCTCAGTCGTAAAAATGTATACGGATGGAAGTTGAAAGACTAAGGAATCGTTTAAATACATTCAGCGAAGTGTTTTAGTGAGAAAATACATCGAAATTAACGTTTAAATTGTCGTTGCCGAAAACAGTCGATGGCTGCCGAAGCCATCATTTACCCTATTCAAACATTAAAAGAGTTTAGTGAATTTGCTATGATTTCATTCGTAAACGATATCGTTTCACATCGCATTGATTCAATAGAACTATTTTTCGAGGATAGTTTGTTTATGCGTGTAAAAAAGAAACAAAATATTGGCAGAGCACTGAAAAACTTCACAGGCTGTGAACCAGTTTCCGAGTTCCCTAATAAATGGATACCATACACTAACGATATCATGGATGATGCGACCATACCACATAAAGTTGGGATGATAACCCGAATTGGTGGTTAGGCGCTTCTTATGGTTATTGTTTATGCGGGTTATATTTAATTTGTGGTTAAAAGTGACATTTGGAAAGTTATCGTGGTTATTTCGAAGAAGAAGAAGTTCTGCTCGAAAACCGGTCAATCGATAACACAGGAAGTTTCGAATGTGGAAAATAACTTGCGGAATGTCACTTTAAACCTCGCTTTAAACCACTAATTAAATTTTAACTCGGCAATTAACCACTTCATTCGAGCAGTTAAAATGACGTTTACTATCACTCGAACTTTGAAATAAAACATTATTTTGAGATTTTTTCCTCTAGAACCAAGAAAAAAGTAGCCATCATTTGTGCGTTTTAAACGCTGTACAGACTGGAGAGTTATAACATAGAGGTAACTCTAAAACTAGTAGGTCCCGAAGAAACGTGCTCAACTTTTTGGCTCAGCTCTGGTACTATCTTCGGTCCCAAGCTTATCGATTCACCCCTCGAATCATAGGAAAATCGAATAACCCCTCATTTTATCTGTCAAACTTTCATAACGAATCAAAACAAACATTGTGTAGTACTAGAATTTTGACTAGAATGGGGTGCGTTAGTCGATTTGCTTGGGACCAATAGGCTAGTCAAGTAGTGAGCCAATTTAAAATCGTTAGTTTCGAATTGATTGTTGGTTATAACATATTATAACGGTTGTCAAATAATTGCAACACAGAAACCACCATCAAGATAGCGCTATAACATTTCATAACTCTGTAGTCTGAACGTACTATTATTTGAAGTATAGCACCCCCCTAGCATAGATATTGCTGTACCCAGTGCAAAAAGCTTTGGAAGAAGTATGTGGTCACTTCAGGCATAACATTTGATAACGGCACAAAGCATTTGTAAACAAACATTCTAAGGCCCTTTACACGCGAACTAAAGTACGCCCACGCAAACCAATACCACTTACGGAAAGGTGATAGTTGCCCCTATGCGATGATGTTGTTGGTTTGCGTGGGCGTACTTTGGTTCGCGTGTAAAGGGCCTTAGAAGGTTTGTTTACAAATGCTTTTGTGCCGTTATCAAATGTTATGCCTGACTTGTTCTAGTCGGCCTGTCACTTTTTAAGATGATCACAAAACTAAGTGGAGATTTTCCAGCAGGAAAATGCGCTCATCTTCGACGGCTCGTTTTAAGCAATATTTCTTGCTGAGAAATCCCGTAAAAAAATCCAATAAAAACACAATGATTTTCATTGTCATTGTAACCATGATATTTACTGTCAAAACATTGGACATTTTTGTCCATTACCATAAAGTCCCAACGAAATTCATGGTTCACAACAATGAAAATCATGGTGTTTGAGAAATTTACAGTAAAAAGGGGGGTTGTTAAGCATCTTAACAATGTAAAAAAGTGATTTTTCCCGAACAAATTTGATCTCACCACACTAATTTTCGTTGTTTGAGCATTGTGTCGTTAAAAATCGAAATCTATTTTTTCTCCCGTACAATAATTTAACAATAAATTTTAATGTACTCAAAATTCAACAGTAAAAATCTATGTAATTTCGTTGTTTTATTATAATTATTTTTTTTTTCGGGAAGTGTTTTAGATTATCACAAACTACCACTCGACAATGTTTACACCAAAGTACTTCGGCATTTACATTAGCGGTATTAGCCCAGTTAAAAAAAAATACCGAACAACTAAATGCTAAAAAAAACTTAAACAAATATGTACTATTCACGAGAATAACTCAGTAATATGAAGAAATTTCTAAATACAGCAGAAGCTCACCGCCGAGCTCAGCGCTGAGTATGTATAACTGTTGGTATCTGAGTGGTGCGGAGAAACACGAAATGGTTGTCAAAAAGAATCCAACTGGTGCTGTCAAAAAGAATCCAACGATCTAGAGCTGCTAAAAGTGATACTTTTCTCATACAATCCCCGTCGGCAGAGAAAGTATTGTGGTCAATGTTGAAAATATTGTCATTTCGGCATTTTTTTACTAATATTCTTCAACAAAAAACTTGCTCAAATACTCGGATGTAAACAATGTAACGAACGAACGAACCTGCACGAACTGCTGAAGGAAGAATGCAACAAACTTTATAAGAGTCATGTGGGTAGGTGCACTCCCAACACCATGTACACGTTATTTATGGAACAAAGGGTGAACTTTCGACAGCATGTATATGCAAATTGTGAGCAGTGCATTAGCAAAACAATTTGTGATATCGGAAAATTTTCAAGTTGTTTCCTGCTGACTTGCAAAACAAAAACGGCTGTGTTCGCAGTACCCAGGTTGGTATAACCATAGAGGTAACTCTAAGACCACTGGGTCCCGAAGAAAATCATTATTATTTTTGGCTCACTCAGTACCAGAACAACGGTCCCAAGCAGTCCCAAGCTATTTCACTCACCCCTGCATGTTCTGCATGAATCCACACACCCCTGATGTTATCTGTCAAACTTTCATAGCGAATCAAAACAAACATAGTGTAGTAATAGAATTTCAACTAGAATAGGGTACGTTAATCGTTTGCTTGGGACCAATAGGCTACTAAAGTGGTGAGCCAATTTAAAATCGTTAGTTTCGTATTGATTGTTGGTATAACTGCAATACACGCTATTTCAAAACTACCGAAATTTGGGAAGAATCCACCCAGATCGGTCAAAACTGAACCTATCCAAAAATGGGTAAACTGTGTTGGGAGTGACAAGTTGACAAATGAACAACATTGACATGAATCCGATCGACGTTGTTCACTTGTCAACTTGCCACTCCCAACATGTTTGTGAATTGCACAAGTATTAGTGCAGAACTAATAGCGAATTTGTTTATTAACGTGGTTGGAACCAGTTCCAACCCAGTGTGAAACAGAACTTTTTGTCAATGCGAACCTCAACCTGAGGTTAAAACTGACAATATTGTCAAAAAAACAAACAGAGCCGATCTTGATACCCGATCCACGTTGGAACTGAATAATACATTAAATCGCTATAATACCTATAAATTACCCAGAGTTCTGCACTAATACTTGTGCATTTCACAGACGTCAAAGAAGTCTATTTAAAAAAAAATTAATTTTCCATACAACTGAGTAGAATTGACTCTCTCTCTCTCTCTCTCTCTCTCTCTCTGAGTTCTTCGCATTGGCCGTGTACTAATTTTTATTTGACACCATAAAATTTCAACGATGTTTTGATAAATTCCTGTGCGATGTTTCTATCATGTTCGTATTAAATTTTTGTCAACACAAGAGGAGCACAAGAGTCGTAAATCGAAACGTGTTTTGGGTATTTCAGTGCGAGAGTTCAAAAAATTATCACAATCTGCAAATTTCAATTGTAAAATGGTAATATGCATAGGAAATTTAATGAGCTATTATCCTAACATGTATTTGATTGTAGGCCAACAAAAAACTGAAGCTCAAACGCCTTCATGGACAGCGCTCCGCACAGCTCAAGCGAATGATTAAAACCTCCGATAGCCGGCTGAAACCTACCGATCGGGATGTCCCGGATAAGAAAAAGAAAAACAACGACACCGAACTGAAAGTGATGGAGAAACCCCAGGCCAGCTCGGCCATGTTCTTCCAGTACAATACTCAGCTGGGCCCACCGTATCACATTCTAGTCGATACCAATTTCATCAACTTCAGCATCAAAAACAAGCTAGATATTCTGAAAACGATGATGGACTGTTTGTACGCAAAATGTATTCCGTACGTGACGGATTGCGTCGTGGGTGAATTGGAGAAGCTGGGTCAGAAGTACAAGCTGGCACTCCGTATTGTGAAAGATTCCCGATTCGAACGGATCAAATGTATGCACCGGGGAACGTACGCTGATGACTGTCTGGTTCAACGGGTGATGCAACACAAGTGCTACATCGTGGCCACCAACGATAAGGACCTGAAGCGACGAATCCGAAAGATTCCAGGTGTGCCCATTATGAACGTGGCAATAAACCGATACGTGATAGAACGAATGCCCGATGCATTTGAACCAATGGCAAAGAAATAAAATGTAATTTTTTTTTTTGTAAAAATCACGAATGTTGTAAATGAAATAGTCAGTAAACGAAATTACCATTTTTCATAAAAGTGTTTGACCAAAAAATCTGTCCCGTATTATGACATTTTAACACTTTTCATCCCATGGTCTTCTTCTATCAGACATTGACGATCATACACGAGCTCTTTCGCCTTCTCTCAACTTGGCGTTCTTTATGTACTACCACAGTTATTCCCCCCTATTCTGCGAGTCACGTGACTCTCTCACCGGTGAGGTAACTCCATTTGATTTGCACGCAGAATAAGCCTAATTGATTTTAAAGTACCGTCGGCCAATTCTGAGCGAGGTGTGAGGTGAGGTGAAAGTGATGTGGTGAAGTGACAATTATCGTCACCTCCATTTAATTTGCTATAATTCATAATTCACGATAATTGTCACCTACCCTCAGACGCCGCGCAGAATAGGCCTACCTGTATAGGACATCTACATCGCAATTTGAACCCACATGCATTCAGCCACTGAAGGACAGTGGGCCATGTTTTTGTTACGTTGGTCAAATTCACACCGGTTCCCGCTTTCAAACGAATTGAATACGTCTAAACGAAACATTTGGTATGGCGTATTTTTTCGTTTGAAAACAAGAATAGGAGTGATTTTAGGGCTTAAGGTGATTCCTTGTAGCGTCCTTTTTCTCATAACACTTCGCAATTTCACAAGTCAAAATATTAAGGATTTTGTGAATGCGTCCCTAAAACTAATACAGTCACCACAGTGTTATGAGCCAGCTATTATGGGTCTGTCAGTTCTGCGTGTTAATCAAATGGAAGTGGCCCATAACTTTTGTTGTATGGAAAACGGTTCAAACGAAAACGAGAATATGTGTGGGCCTGATTACAGATTTATAAACCTCGTAAATATTGAATTTTGTGCTGTTGAAATTACGAAATGTGATAAGAAAAAATACTCTACTCTACGCCCACGTTGAACTGTGCTATGATATGACCAAATAAGGAATTTCTTTCCCCAGTAGCAATTGAATTGATTAGTGATGGATATTTTATTGTTATCATGTTAGCATTAGGACAAAACAAAAGTAATGTTCATTTATTTTGCGTGTTGTTCTTTTTCAAGACATAGTTATGGGCCCTTATTACCAATGTCACTTCAGTGATTCCCATTTGATTTACACGGCAATCACTTCACCGTGAGTGAGCGTGAAGTGAAACTCGTAATAAGGGCCATGGTTTTGGTGCGCGATGTGAATGACAAATCGGTATTTTTGACGGCGATAAGTTTAAATTAATGAGAGTATAATAAAGCAAGCAAAGTACAAATAAGAAGCAGAATTACTGCATCGTATTGATGATATCATCAATCTTTAGAATCGATCGAACCGTCTCCGAAGCTAACGTGATGGACGAAGTGGACACCAACAGCGGTTGAACCACATTCTCTGCCAAGATATCAGTGATTGCGCCTTTACGGACATTGATGCCAGCGTTCTTTTCACCCTGAGCATGACGATTTCGCAGCTCCGTGACTGTGGCGATCGGGTTCAGTCCTGCATTTTCAGCCAGCGTCGATGGAATGACCTCCAAGGCATTAGCAAAAGCACGGAAGCAGTAAGCATCTACTCCCTCCAGAGTCTGAGCGTGAGCGGCCAATTGAAGGGCCATTTCGATTTCCGGAGCACCACCTCCAGCAATTTGGGCTCGCTTCTTGACCAAGCATCGAACAACGCAAAGAGCATCGTGCAGGGAACGTTCTGCTTCCTCCAAGACAAGCTTATTCGAGCCACGAACCACAATAGAAATGGTCTGTCCCATGTTCTGAATTCCTGTCACCTTGACAAATTTGCTGGATCCGCTTGAGACTTCCTCAACCAGATCGGCATTCACCATATGTTCCGGGAGGAAATGATCCAAAGAGGCAATAGGACGACAGTTCAAAGTTTTGCAGACAAACTCGATATCTTCACGCTCGATGTCCTTAACTACCATCACCTTAATTTTATCCAGGAAGTGCATAGCCAAATCCGAAACAGCATCTCGAAGAATGGACTTCTGAACCAGCAGCACATTACAACCAGCCTTCTTGATCTGCTTCACAATGTTCAGAATGTAGGCACGTTCCTCCTTCAGCACCCGATCCATGGCAGCATAGTCCGAAACAATGACGCTATGGTCCATGTCCGTTTTGGGTGCTGAGATACAGAACTGAATCAAACCAATTTTTGCTTTCTCGACACGTTTAGGCCCGTTGACACCGGAAGAGCGCTGGGTAAACACCAATCCATCAATCAGTTCAGTATCGTCAATGGTTCCACCCAGACTGCGAATGATTTTGACATTCTTGAGGTCAACTCCACACTCGTTTCCTACCTCTGTGACCTTCAGTACAGCTTCGACAGCGATAGGGGCCAACTGACTGCTATGCTGGGATACGACCTTCGAGTTTAGCGACGTAGAAGCACTCTTGATCAGCGATTCACGATCGGTCAGTTCGATCGGATACGACATTTCGGTCAAAATGTCTACTGCCTTGGCCGAACACTTCTGGAAGGCATCCGAGATCGCAGTCGGGTGAATTCCCATCTGTAGCAGCTTTTCTACGGCTTCCAACAGCGCTCCAGCAACGACAACAACCGAGGTGGTACCGTCTCCAGCTTCAACGTCCTGCGCGCGGGATAATTCAACCAACATCTTGGCAGCTGGGTGGATGACGTTCATTTGCTTCAAAATGGTTGCACCATCATTGGTAATCGTGACCTCTCCGTTTCCAGCTTGAATCTATAATATCCATGATTGTAATTTAAAAAAAAAAGTTCTACGCGACGAACAGTAGTACATACCATTTTGTCCATACCGCGGGGTCCCAGGCTGGTACGAATTGCATCGGAAACGGCTGTGGAGTTGAATTAAATTTATAATTAAATATTTTGAGATTAACACAAAATACTTTAAGTTAGAACTAAGAGCACTTAACCGAACAAACATTCCGATATGGCTTCGCCGATGACATTGACATCATGGCACGGAACTAAGACGATGGCGGAAACCTACATCAGACTACAGGCTGAAACTAGGCGGATTGGACTTGCCATCAATGCATTGAAGACAAAATACATGAGAGGCAGAGGTTCTAGGGTAGATAATGTTAGCCTCCCACCTCGAGTTCAGATTGATGGTGACGACGAAATCGAGTTGGATGGCGAGTTCGTGTATTTGGGCTCACTGGTGACCACCGAAAATGATACCAACAGAGAAATTCAAAGACGCATTATGGCAGGGAATCGTGCTTACTTTGGACTCCGGATGGCGCTCAGGTCGAATAAAATTCTTCATCGCACGAAGTTGACTATCACGCTGATTAGACCGGTGGGACCTGCACTATGCTCGTGGAGGACCAGTGGTGTTTTCGAACGGAAGGTGTTGCGTACCATCTACGGTGGAGTGCAGATGGATGATGGAACGTCGTGGAGGCGAATGAAACACGAATTGCACCAGCTGCTGGGAGAACCATCCATCGTCCATATTGCAAAAAATTAGCGACTACAGTGGGTCGGGCACGTCGTAAGAATGCCGGACGACGATCCAGTGAAAATGGTTCTCGGAAGCGACCCAACAGGAACAAGAAGAAGAGGCGCGCAGCGGGCAAGGTGGATCGACCAAGTAGTAGGTGACCTGCGGACCCTTCGCAAACTAAGAGGCTGGCGAAATGTGGCCATGGGTCGAGTAAAATGGAGACGACTTCTTCCGACAGCAGAGGACAACAGGGTCTTAGCCTGATTGGTAAGGTACGTAAGCCATAAAAATGCCAAATATTCATACAAATCTTATGAAAAACTTCGCATTTTGTATGGTGTATTCTGTAGTTGTCACTCGTCAAATCAATACTTCAATATAATATGGAAGAATAGCTCATGATCATATGAAGGAAAAATAGTCATTTATTGGATATTTTCCCTTCTTTTGAAATTGACAGTTTTTCAATTAAGTATACAGAACCGTTTCAAATATTAATTTAAGTGTTACATTTCACTGTTACCATGGCCTTGCGAGCTACAAACATGACTTTACAAACTGAGCTTAGCCGCTAAACGAGGCATATGTTAAAGGAATTCCTACTGGAATTTAAGGTTCCTCCAAAAGTAGTGTATGTTGACCCAGATATACTGTTATTAAATCAAAGCTTTCGATGTCTATATACTAATGCCACAGACAAACAGACATAACACATTGAATATATCTAACTGTAAAACATCGTCGCAAAAACATTACCGCCATCTGTTGAGTACACTGTGGTGGGTAGTACGCTGAACAGATGGCGGTAGTGTGTAAACGTCAAACGCAAGGGAATTGACTATGCGCGCCACAGGTGGCGGTACTACCAACTACGATACTTTTAAATTGACCGTTAAATGCTTGTTCGATGAACAACTTGCGAGTGTTATGTCTGTTTGTCTGTGCTAATGCATTAACTAGTACCAGGGTTACTTCCACTCACTTCGCTTTAAAAAATGCTTCTTGAAATTATGGAACCACCGGATGCTACAATAATACTGTGTATTTGCCAGACACAAGAAGAGGTTGGATAGCATGTATTTGACACATAAAACCTGTCAATCTCGCCTTCAGTGCGTCGCAATCAGCGAATTAACGACTCGTGAGCGTTCACTCAGAATGAGCGCTCACGAATCGTAAAATCGCCGACTGTGACGAACTGAAAGAAATAATGACAGGCCTCATGTGTCAAACACCTAGTTTACAACCACTTCCTGCAACTCACAAGTACAAATCATCACTACAACATCCAACGACCACACAAATCTGAAAAACAAGTTTTTATAGCAAGTGACTGGAAGCAACCCTGACCCTGACTTGTACATATATTGTGAGGCAGGGTTGCTTCCACTCACTTGCTATAAAAACTTGTTTTTCGGAATTATGTGGTCGTTGGATGTTGTAGTGATGATTGGTACTTGTGAGTTGCAGGAAGTGGTTGTAAACTAGGTGTGTGACGCATGAGGCCTGTCATTATTTCTTTCAGTTCGTCAGAGTCGGCGATTTTACGATTCGTGAGCGCTCACGAAGAATTGGAAGAATTTTCCTTTTTTTAAATAAGAATTATAATAGTTCTTCCGAGTTCTCCTGTACTCGGATTTATCAACACAAAACGTCAGTTAGATATCAAAATTAAATACATACACAAATTACATCTGATCAATTAACATTTTCTTGCTGGGGAACATTATACCAATTTTGACCGCCCTATTTTCTTCCACACACACAGTGCGAAATAAGCCGACATCAAATTCTATCATCTGACTCATCTTTTTGGAGGTTAGAGTAAAACAGAAAAAGTTTTTACTTCAAAAGCTTTTAATTAGTAGTACTTAAATTGACTCCACATTTAAAAATGCTGGATGATCAAACCGGAACTGTTTCTTCGCTTTCTGCTTCAACGAAGATGCGAGTATCAATGAGAATCTTCCAGAATGAAATTCAACAGAAGAGTACCGTTTGTTTTGGCAAGTTTTTTTTTTTCCTATCCCGATAATAATTTTGGAAATTAATTGAAAATAGTTGAAAACGGTTGTACCGCAAGGAATGAGCATTTTCTCAAAATACAGTTTTTATCAAAAATTTTAACAAAATAATTTCAACATCCACCCACTCACCCTTAGCTGCATTGATGTTGCTCTGGCGGATGTCAGCCGGTTTGCTTTTGTCCTTGTAGGCCTGTCCCTGGGGCTTCATGCCTCTTGCTACTGGCTTCACGACCATCGTTACTGTTCAAAGTGAATATTTCCGGCCAAAACTAGGACAAAACGCAACGAGTGATGCAAATTTTCACAATTTTCTTCACAGAAGATAGGCAGAACGCGTGCACCAAAGGCTTGTAAGGTTTTCTGACAAGAAAGGAGCAGCAGAAGCAGAAACAAGAGAAAAGACATTACAACCTTTTTTTGGTTCCTTTTTTCAAGAGGGATAGGACAGCACACAAATGCTATAAAATTTTCGATGATTTACTAGTACTCACGGACGATGAGATCAACTTAAAATTGAGTTGAATTTGACGCAATGTTGTCAAAAGTGGATCTATGCTATGATCTATGAGTAAAATTTTCCGAGAAAAAACTCTCGAATATGAGGAAAATAGAGAGAGGTTTCACTCAGTCTTTTAATATACTCCTAGCCGGAGTAAAATTTTCATCTATTTTATGTTTCTTCCTGGAAAATCGACTTTGACTACATTGAATCGAATTCAACTCAATTTAGAGTTGGTCTCATCGTCCGTGAGCGCTTCAGATCCAGCCCTGCAGACGACAGTCGATCGAGTCAAATTCGCACAGTTTTAATACCTGATGGAGTATAGTTTGAGTGCAGATTGTTTATGGTGAAACGTTTTTAAAAGTGTCGGGTTGTTTAAATTTCTTAAAATTCCATAACTTTTTGAGTGACGAAAATCATGATGTCTGCCGCACAGAAGCGTCCGTCGGACGCGCTAGTTCCCGTTCCGCAGACCAAAAAGTCGCGTACGGATCTGATGGCCTACACGGCGAAAGACAAGCAGCTCTTGGAACAAAATGTAAATAAGCCCTTCCGGTTAAAGCATTAGGTTGATTGATTTTGGTTTTTCAGAATGTGGACCGAACATCCAACCTACTTGCCCCGATCATGCTGCTGGAGGGTCACGGAGGGGAAATCTTTTCAACCGAGTTCCATCCGGAGGGGCAACACCTCGTATCGACCGGATTCGATCGCCAGATCTTCCTTTGGAACGTTTACGGTGAATGCGAAAATGTTGGAATGATGACGGGCCACTCGGGGGCAGTGATGGAGGTCCATTTTTCGCCAGATGGCGGTAATTTGTACACATGCAGTACGGATAAAATTGTAGCTGTATGGGATGTGCCCACCTGTTCCAGAATTCGCAAACTGAAGGGACATTCGCATTTCGTAAACAGTTGCAGTGGAGCTCGACGAGGACCGACTTTGATTGTGTCCGGATCGGACGATTCCACCATCAAGATTTGGGATGCAAGAAAGAAAAATGTTCTTCACACATTCGACAATGGCTATCAAGTTACGACGGTTTGCTTCAACGATACAGCTGAACAGATTATCTCTGGAGGGATCGATAATGAGATCAAAGTTTGGGACATCCGTAAGAAGGACGTAATCTATCGCCTGAGAGGACATACCGACACGATTACGGGATTGTCTCTGTCGCCGGATGGATCTTACGTGCTGAGTAATTCTATGGACAACACACTAAGAATTTGGGATGTTAGACCATACGCACCGGCTGAAAGATGTGTCAAGGTATTCAACGGTCATCAGCATAACTTCGAGAAGAATTTACTCCGCTGTGCCTGGTCCCCCGACGGATCCAAAATAAGCAGTGGTTCCGCAGATCGATTTGTCTACATTTGGGACACGACTTCCAGAAGAATCTTGTACAAACTACCCGGACACAATGGAAGCATTAACGATGTAGATTTTCACCCAACAGAACCGGTCATCGTTTCAGGTTCAAGCGACAAAACTCTCTACCTGGGAGAATTTGAAGGCTAGAAGTATCAAAAAGAAAATAAAACAAATTTCCTCTACAATTTTTATTTTATTTAAACTCTAATTGAATGAGAGGATACATTAGCGATTAGGATCTCCAAGTATGAATAGAGTGTTTGTTTGAAAGAGTCTGAAAAGAACTGTTCCATCTTCGTCTACATTAGCATTTTTATTGCACCTCGTTGGGGTACAAAATATCGTAATGTCCAGGGCGGTAGAGCAAAAATACATTCGGCTTGCAACCGTCCGGAAATTCATGAGCAATCACTTGGTTTCCATCGCCCCGATCCATGTACTCTACGCGGACTCCCGCATCCAGAGCCGAACAAATTGCGATTATGTGAATGTGATCCGACTCCTTGTACATGGGCTCCACTTCCTGGTGGCAAAACTCCAGGATGGTGTAGTTTCCATCGATGAAATTTTGGTAGAAATCTGCTCGCTCTTGCAGGTGACTCGAAGTGATCAGGCGCAAGTACACAACCACGTAATCCGAATAGCCTTGCTCATTGAATAGTTTATGCAGCTCAGCCAAAGCCCCGGATGTATTGTCTCCATCAGGTTTAACCTTGTTGATCACCTCCATGAACGTCTCATAGAAATCCTCAATCGTAAATCGAGGGAATCCGGCTTCCGTCAGTCTTTCTCGGGATTTCGCTGCATATTCGTAGAATTTGCTGAATTCTTCCTTGTTACGAACCAAATACTCCAGATATGCGTACGCAAACGCCCGGAAAAAACAATTTCCGTCTGGACGCGTACGTCTGATCGCCCGGTACTTCGAGGCCAGGTCCTTTATCTTGGCAATGTAAACGGCATCATCCAGATATTCCGAGTTCAGACTATTGATCGCCTGCGACTCGCTTACCAATGGGTTCGTATAGGCAATCTGCAATACATAAAAAATAACACCCCGTTCCACCTAATGTGCGCAACTTTCCTTTTATTACCTCTTGTTCAATTTCCCTTTGTTGTTTGATGATTAGCTCGTCCTGATTTTCCTCTTGAGGCTGCTTCAGATTGCTGCTTGCGCTGCTGCTGCTCGTCGTATCGGTACTGTCCGAAGTGCTCATGGTGTTCAGGAATACTTACAGCATACGAATTTTACACGTCTTCCGTTGCAACTTCCCTGAAAAATCGTTAGAAAACTACGATTTTTCTCAGTCGATAATTTTTCTTCCGTTCGCTTCCTCTCAACAAGCCGACATTTTTCGCACTTATACACCGCAAAACAGCATCTCGCATCAAAGGCCGAAGTTTGGCAACCGTAAAAACGAACACTGACAGCAATGTCAATTTATGGAACACTACGGAGGGGTAGGAAACCGAAAGTTGCTCATTTTGCACATTTTGCACTCCCTCAAACTAAATGTCACGGCTAATGAGAACCCCAAAATTACAGTTTAGGCTCTGAACCATTTGGTAGGTTATTTTAACTTTTGGTTAAAATTTGACAGATGAAAAGTTATCGATTAACCCTGCTATCCGAGCGTGGTTACTTTTGACAGACAAGAAGTTAAATTTTGACAACCGTGGCTGAGTTCTTCTCGAAAACCGCTCGATCGACAGCACAGGGATTTTCGAACATAGAAAATAACTTTCGAAATGTCACTTTTAACCATGAGTTAAATTTAACTCGGCAAATGGTTCACAGCCTTAGTTTACTCATAAATCGCAAGAGTACACACAGCAAAAAAAAAGTAATATCGATCAATGTAATTCAAGCTGACTGAAATAATGATGTAATAGCAAAAAGCAGATACAATATTACATCAATGGATGTAATTTTGTTCGCAAAATCGATGTACCGTGCCGATTCAAATTTCGGACACTTAAACTCGAATTTCGGACACTTTTAAAAGTTGATTATCTCGGTCGAATATGATCCACATGTCTTGTAAATTTTATTTTTTTTTGACTAGTGCCCTCCACGATCATCTAACATTATTACTTTGTTTCTAACTGGATGTAATATTTAATTAAAAATGAAAGTGTCCGAAATTTGAATTGTCCGAAATTTGAATCGGAACGGTACATCGTACAATGTGATTATACGCAACCGATGGATTGACCTGGTTGCAGCAGTTTCGATGTAATATTCAACAACTTTTTTTGCTGTGCAGGAACTCAGCGAGGAGTAAATTTGCCTACACGGCCAACCCTGACTATTTCATGATTTCATAATTCCAAAAAACATTTTTTTATAGCAAGTGAGTGTAAGTAACCCTGATTTCATATTTAGAGATGAACTAGCCTAAGGCTAAAAATCTCTTAAATAAAGAATTAAAAAAAAAAAAAACCCTGATTTCATACATCAGCTTGATTTACGTTGATCGATATTACATTTTTTTTGCTGTGTACTTTTGGGCACAACTAACTTACATTTGGGTTGACCTTGAGTGGAAAATTCCACACAACCCAACAAACCATCGTCTATTGAAGAAACGACTTCATGGCCATTTTATTCAACTGCATGCTTAATAGTACTTGTACTATTTTTAATAATAACTTCTGTTCAGGCTTTGTTCACACAAATCTGGAGAATTTATTCAACCACAACATTGAACTACTGGTGTTGTATAAGGTATGTCGAGAAGCTTTTATTCGACTTATATGAGTTGTAACATGGTTTATACGATAAAATTTTTGATTATTCAGCGTTTATTAGACATCACTGCTTCCCTTAAAACAGTGATGCTCTGTATACGCTTGATTCTCATGTGAAGTAACGTTTAATTAGACATTATTATACATTTATTAAACGATTATTCAACGTGGGAAAATTAATCCGAAAATAAGAGGACAGGGGGACAGGGACAAGGGAAGGGTGTGTGTGTTTCTTAAGTTTATTGTATTTCAATATTGCTGACCTGGCTCGCACCTCACAGATATTAGAATATTTATTAAATACTTATACATGCCGTTGTATGGGAATCGAACCATGTACCTTCCGATCACCAGCCACTTGCCTTGTCATCTGAGCTATCCTAGAATTCATCATATGGGTAACTCAATAATCAATAAAAGCTTGCTTGAAAGTAAATACCTATCAGCACTCCCGATCGCAACTCTAGCTCCTTCAAGGCCCTGTGGGAATGATTAATTCATTCATCGTTGTTTTAAATGAGACCAATGATGCCTCTTCACCTCTCCAAGTCGAAAGAAAGGATGTTCGGTTATATTTTAAACTAGATCAATGCATTCATTATCGTGAGTCATGTGATCGATGATTACTATTTAAATTAATTATGTTCTACACAAATAAAAAAAGGGTTGAGCTTGGGATTGAACTCACGACCTTCTAATTGGAAAGCGGAAACGGTAACCACTACTCTACTGATTTCGCCTTGTTGTAAGACTGAATCAGTATTGTCGAATAATGAATCTAATAACGTTGTTTATAAAGCATTTACAAATCATGTGATTACAACATGGAAGCATAGGGGTATAAGAGCTATTATGCTGACTGTATTCACCTTTATTCAGCAATATTGTAAAGTAATGCAATGAAATCTAATAAAGGAGCTGGAGAACATTTATTAGACGTCTAATAAAGCATGTTATTAAATCAATTGAAAACAGTCGAATTAAAGTGTCAATGTATGTACAAGTTACACTTATTCAGTTTGTTATTAGATCGAACTTCTGGCGTTGATCAGAGCAAACAGTCGAACAATGAGCTTTTTCAGCACATAATTCCACAACTCTTTTTAGTCAGCATTGTACACTGTTATACAGCATTTATTCAATATATATGCTTATTTGTGACTTTGAATTGTTTGTTGGGATAAGAGCTATTTTGCTGAGTGTATTCACCTTTATACAGCAATATTGTAAAGGAATGCAATGAAATCTAATAATGGAGCTGGAAAACATTTATAAGACGTTTAATAAAGCATTTTATTCAATCATTTGAAAACAGTCGAATAAAAGCGACAATGTATGTGCAAATTACACTTATTCAGTTTGTTATTAGATCAAACTTCTGGTTCTGAGTAAGGAAGGCATTCAACGTTTATAAAGCTTTTAATAAGGAAATTATTCATATCAGAGCAAACGGCGGAATAAAAGCGCATCTATCGATCCCAATGAGCTTTTTTCAGCACATAATTCGACATCCTGTTTTATTCAGCATTGTACACTGTTATACAGCATTTATTCAATGTTAAGCATACACATTGTGACTTTGAATTGTTTGTTGGGAAGTAAATTAAAACTACTTTGACTCACTGATAAAAATTTACTGATAAAATTTCAAAGATTGTTTTTATGTGTCCCACACATGATTTTTTGCAATGTGATCAACAAATGATATCTGTGTTGGACACATACACGCAGAAAAAACTATCGTGGAAACAAAAATATTTGAGGTAAATTTAAACGTAAACTCAGTTTTTTCTGGCCACAAAAATAAATTAGGTTGATTTCAAACGTATTCCATGTTTGAAGTCATGTGAAATCAATGCTTAAAATAAAAATAATGTTACGTTGATTTTAAAAATATTCATGTTGAAAACAAACGTATTTGTTTTTGTTTGGATTGACAGCTATGCGAACAAAAATAAATATGTTAATTTTAAACATGCTTCTCATGTTTAAAATAAACATACATATTTTGAAATTATTTTGATAGTTGAGTGCAGGGTAAAGCAAGATAAAACGGATTGCAAAGAAATGAAAAACAAAAGATCTTCGGGTACACAGAAACAAAATCCATTGGCAAAAATACTATATTGATGGTTTAAATTAAATACTCCCACCAATAGATTTGTGCAGAAACGAAATTCATTTAATTTGACTAATTTTTCTATCAAAACTACTATACCGTTTGAGTCAGCATAGTAGTTTTGACAGAATGGTAGTAAATTTGATTATATTTATAGTCAACTATACTGAAATCATGGTAGATTTAACGGTATTAAGCGTAGTTATACTGAAAATAAGTGTTTTCTGCAAAATAGTATTCCTAACTATTATCTTTGTTTCAGTGTAGGGCATCTAAATGCCTGTTCTTTCACCCTGTGATTAAGGGTGTCCTGTGGGTATTGGGGTCCTGGGCCGGGATGCGGGTACCCGTCCGAGTGGGTTTCCGGGGGTTCCAGTTCAGTGGAACCGGTGAAAAATTGTGATATTAGCGTCGTTTTTTCGTTTCAGCCCTGGAGGTGCACACAGATCCAAATCTAAACTTTAGATGGTCAGAAAATTTCACAGCCACTGGTCCTCATACCGGTTACTTCCTACGTTCGGTGTCGGAGGAGTATCCGAAATGGATTCAAAATCCATTTCGGATTTTCGTTGTCCTTTCGAAGCCGAGTTCGAAGCTACGTGCATCAGAAACTGAAGTTGATACTGTGGGGTTCCGCTGGTTTTGTGGAGCTGGATTCCGAATCTATCTTCGGTTTTGCCACTTTCAGGTCGTTTTTTGTTTGTGGGGCAACTTTTTCCGGATGTAACAAGAAGGAAATAAAAAGGCATGACACGCTGAAAATCGTTTACCCAAATCTTATATTGTTGAAATAAACATGCTTTTGAATTTAATTCAAACATAAATATTTTAGTTTTAAACATGCTTTCAATTTACTTTGAATAATTCATATGTTCAGAGCATACACATTTATATTTTTGTTTTAAATGAACAAAATTCGTATCCGTGTACTTAATATGTGTACACATAAAAGCCATATGTAATCACACATACTATTCATTTGACTCATAAATTTCATGTGAGCTTTTGGGTGGATTCCAAGGGGTAGGTCACTCCGCACACCAATCTTGTGTCATTTTTTTTGTCAGTGTGCCGCAAGTGTGCCGATTGTACCAGTCATAGAGCAAGCTGCGATTGTTTGTAAAATACCCATCCCGGCAACCCGGTATTTCTGAAATCTTGAATGTTTTGGTTTGAAATCCCAAGGTTAAATCGGATTGACAATGACGCGGGAAGTGGCGGGTTTGCGAAATTTTGGTGAATTAAGGTTACTAATGGGGTCTGATGAACTGCCTCTTTCTCTTGAGCCCACTCTAGAACCTACATTTCGTATTTAGATCTATAAGTGAACTGCTGGTCTGAGTTCCTCTGGTATATTCAATTAGAGGATGTTCCTGAATATACATTCAAACAGCACGTAATGTTGTGAACAACTTCAATGACAGTTGTCCAGCAGTGCTCCCATTTTATTAACAACAATCCAATGCCTTATGAGATTGTGCCGGAG